ATGGTGTGAAAAAAATAACACCAGCCCACTAAATCATTCAATCGTAATGTTTACTTATATGTGAACAGTAACAAAGTTCAGTCAAAACATTGACAACAAAATCGGAGAAAGCCGCTTGATCATGGAGGGCGAGGGGTGGTGGTGCATATGCTGTTACCCCAGTTGGCAGCTTTGTTTGGAAAGAAAAGTTGATTCAAAATGCACGAAAGCTTTGGATCTTAGTTAATAAAAAATCTCCATAAAGAAACCTACCAAAATACAATCAAAAGGCTGTTAAGTTACGTTTGGCCACACACAAACAGACACATGGGGATCTAGTCCAAAACTGGCGACACCAAAAATAAAAGTTTGTTAATCTTTAACCTGGAAGGAGTTTTACAAGAGGTGCAATTGCAATGACCTAAAATGCTTTGATTTTTCTCTAAAACTAAAAAGGTACATGTTTTTATTTTAAAAAGCTACGTTTTCAACCAAAAAAAGTGTGTTCTTGTGACCACAATGTGAACAGAAGAATATTTTTTTTTGCATCGCTAACTAATCTTAAATCCATTTCCACATCTTCTTTTAAGACCATTATTAACTCAGCTGATATCATCCTTGATAAGTTTGTGTTTGATAAAATAAACGCAAATTAATTGGCACACGGCGAACCTGGGGCAGGTAGTCCTCCAGTATGGGAGTGCTGGTGGTTTCAAGAGCTCCAGGCAAACTATAATTAAGCTGCCATGTAGAGTCTGCTGCGTGCACTGTACTTGATGGGTACTTGAATGAGGAGTGAAGGGGCTGTCAGTTGGGGCCCAAAGCTAGTTTTGTGCCCCTGGTTCTGTACAGTGATGCTTCTACACTGTCAAGAGTTGAGGTATCAGTTTACAGGGGCCACCCCAGGTGACAAATTATATACGGGCAGTGTTTGCTATTATCGACTATGTCAATTTCGCAGATGCTGTTATGTTCTGGGTGGGAACATTCATATCATTTTTCCAAGTCTTGTAAAGAAGTAGCAGTATGTCTAAAGAAAGTACACATGTGGGGAGAGCCCTGTGAATTCCTACTTTCCAAGGAGAATAAGCGTGTTAATTGTGTCCATATCGTTAGGCCCAAGGGTCTGCAGGTCTGTAATTGCATATGAGCAAGTCATTTATTATGTCTTGTTTATGAGCTCAAAATAGGATCTAACTGGGGCCATGGAGAGCCGAGCCCCAAAGACAGACTCTCACTTATAACAAGTGAGGTATTGATGAAGAAGGCCGCAGGAGGGAAGGATCAGGAAGGGAATGATAGTCACTGAAATAGGGAGAATTAAGTGTCCAACATCTTTAAAATAAGGATTGATCAGACAAGCTTCAAATAAAAACAAAAAGTCCATTCAAACAGTTAGTTTGACATCTTTCAAAGATATTCTACTTAATGCAGAACGTGGTGATATTAGTTTGTCAACTGCTGTTTTCAAGGTCAATCTTAATTTTAGGACACATTGACTAAAAGCCCCTCGAGTGCAAACATTGTTTTTATTTAAATACCTTCAATTCCACTAGGCAGATACCATCTATTGAGGAAGTTCATGTCATTTGAACAATAACTCCAGAACAAGAACTAAATTAACCTTGTGTTGACATTATTTTGGGAAATGTTGACCAGATAATTCAATTTTTTTTAACAAGACCATTTTAGCACAGGCTTATCTTGAATGTTGAACTGAGGGATAACATTTATGGAAATATAATCCTTATATAACTTTGGAAACTGTTCATTGACAGGTTTTGAAGCCTGGGCAGAAACTGCTGAACACTGAGAAGGTATATCAAATTGTCAGTTAAAATGATAGGAATAATATGAAATATTGGTTAATTGAGCGTGTGAAATATTCGGATATACACATTAAGATTTAAGTCTGAATAATGAAAATGTTGCTACATTATAGAACTGCTGAACTTCTGTAGTACTATAGGACTATGACCATATATGTTTACTAAAACACCATGAGGCTGATCTGTCTATCTGGTTGAGGAAGCGGTATGGAGCAAATCAATTATTCAATAGTTATACAAAAATATAACAATAGTTTTGATCAAATAACTCGATAATGCAACAATAATGTAGTTCTGACTATTGGTGCTTTCACAAAGTATTTACTCCATTCAATCAATACTTGTTCACCAGTAAGGTGGATAGAAATGTACAGAGTTAAAGCAACTAATAGATCACTTAAGAAAATGACATATTGCATGACAATTAACTTAAGAAGATTAAAAGAAGATATTTAGTCACATATCATGATTTGCCCAACCCTACTTCCACCTTACAACTTGTCAGAAGTACACAGGTAAGCTGGCATTACTGAATGTAATCATTTGGTGTGACTAATTAAATATATAACCACTTTACCCTAAAAAAGAACTGAATGTACACTAGTTTTGACTCCAAACACCTCTGACTAGTCTAAATAATAATGAGTAGTGAGAAGTCATGATAATATTGACACATTGAAGGTAATAGCCTGCATTAGGTTACACTGTTGAAGGTGCCCAGGCTGCTTGTTTGACAGTCCACATTTATGACAGCTCACTTGTGATAATGAACCATGTCTGTTGAAATATTGAGGGGGGTTAGCTAGAGTAATAACGGTTTGCTTTATTATTTATAAGCAGGTATCTTGCTGAACACGAGTTAGCTTAGCGAGGGTCTCCACGAAGCTGCTAGCTACATTAATGGACTAAATGCTGCGTTTAGGTGTCACGCTGTGGCTGGGAACAGGCCAGAGACACCGCTGACACCTCTGAATGGGACAAGGTGGGAATAAGGTGATATGCAGGCAGGCAACTCACGTAGTGTTTAGACGGATTGCGCCTCTTCTGCACGTCCACGACTTTCACGTCCAGTACAGTCCGAAACTGCATCTTGACCCTGCAAAGGCTATGCATTAAAATCGACAGACAGGCAGCTGCTGAGGCTCCGGATAAGCTATCTTGTATCACGGGAGCGAAATCACCACATTCATCGCTGTGTCACTTAAAAATTCAGCGGTCCATGAAGACAGCAGCTCCTCGGCGGCGCAGACTGACGCAACGACCATAAATATGATCAGAAACTTATCAATAGTACATGTGAGTTTTTGCTGGCCGGTGGCGGTGAAACACACAGCCGAATATCCGAGCACAGAGTGGGGTTCACGTTGCTTCAGCAGCACAGTCTGGCCGGTGGCGGGCGGCGCGCTGGTTAAGGCGGTCACCTTAAAAATAGAAAAAAAGTGATGCGAGTTCCTTTGTGTCTGCCGCGGTGCCTACTGGAGGGGCATCTTTATACCTGGAGGTTACCGGGGTGTCTGAATGCGAAGGGAGCAGGCAGATCCAGCGCCTAACCTCCTCCTGCCTTCCAGCAGGCGCAGTTAATTTAGGGAACGGAGTGGGATGGGCTTCACACACGTCCTCAGGGCGATTTGGAATGAAGCATCCAATAAAAAAAGATTTGCCTGTGCCTTCTTCGACAAGAAACCTACTGTGAGATAGGCTAATGATGATGTGTTTGTTACGAGCGGAGACACTTGGCCTATCATTTCACTAATCTTCCCCCGGGGCCCCAGAACTTTTCCTTCCCGCTTCAGAGCATATTAAATAAAGTAACGTAATGTCTCAACATGCAGGCCTGAATTCGACACGAACTGCAGGTTATTCGTTGAAATGTTCCTACTTCTCCCGGTGTGATAATGAAGCTGTGCTCACTTTGTTAACACTCTCCAATCTCTGAGTCACGAGCAGCTTTCTGGCCGGAGACACGAGCAGCTGGAGATATGGATACAGATGTTTCTCAGGCGACCAATCAGAAGCAGCCTGCTCTACATGAAAGAGCCAATTAACGACCGAACACTGCCCCCCTGTGCACACGGCAACACATGCATGGTGCTAAAGCTTGGACTTATTACTCCTTTTTAGTTCACTAAATGTAACACCTAAAATGAATTAAGCCCCTTAACAGGTTTTCATGGCATGAAGATCAGATAAGTATCACATTTTAAGACCTTCTGTTGTTATTATAATGACTTTACTGTAAGCACTAGCCTAAGGCTTGAACTCCAACTGGGCATCTGCCCCAGGGGATTTAAAAGCTCCAAGCCTACTGTGTGTGTGAACTGCTTTGGTGTGAAGTCATATACGTATGGGAAGATGTAAGGATGGATTACCAATAAGGCAAAGATTTTCAAGGGGTCAATGAGAGAAAACTAATTTGTAGTTATGTAATGTATACATCTAAAGGGCTTTCTTGCAAATCAAACTTTTTTTATTTAATTGACAATCCACCAATTTTCACGTGATATTTACTCATCATGATTCTGATTGTTTTCTACATGGACTCAGAGAGTGCAAGTGTTTAACTGAAAGCCTGTAAAACAAACCGGGCATGTAGTTTCAAAGACTTGGGAATTTTCCAGACTGGGAAAGTCTAATAAAAATGTAATTGAGTTATATTTTTAGTCCAACTTTCAGAAGTTTGATTCTCAGCCTAGATATGCATAATGCAAGTTGGATGAGTAGTGCATTATATTTATGTCAGTATATCCACATGAAGATACAACATATTTGTGCATGTTGGATTTTGACGTGCTTGCAACTGCTTTTTTTAAATGATGATGACAGAGATGGTAATAACAGCCAATTATTGGTATTATTATTTAACACTGCTTTTCCTACAGGTTTATCCTATGTAGTTTTTGTGTGCCTTGCCAGTCAGATTGGATATACTGTAAAGGGATGCAAAAGAAATATTTTATGGGAGGACATCAATTGAGAGGGATGGGGACCAAGAGGTGCCTTGCATTTTAATGCAGCTATTTACAGCCACTGTTATATATTTTCTATTTATTTTGGAATGTATACAATCATTATTAATTACAACAGTGGATTGCAAAATTGTATCAGCATGGTTAAAAATGGACTTAAATGGATCCCAAAATATTGGTTTTGTCAAAGAGATGTTCTTGACAATAGTCACGATGAACAAAGGAATACAAATGACATGATTTATTTCAATTGGATGCTCGCATTTTGGAGTAATAGGCCATACTACATATAGTATAAATATATACAGCCAAACTGTGCCTAAGTTAAAACACAGTGTAATGGCTGTCGCTGGTGCTGACGACGTCACTGTTGCACTCCAGTGATTTGAGGACCAGCTCCAGTGCCGCTCTGCTCACATTCAGGCTGTAGCGCTGCCTGACTGCAGACAGGATGTGCAGGATGTGGCAACCCTTTTCTGCATCTGCGGGCACAGGAGGAAGACACTGTCAACACACAGGCATGTGGCCATGGAAACCAAGGTTAGATGGAGGCTTTAGACTTTTTATTTAGGCATTTTCGTTGGCCTTAATTTTACAACAATCTTACAGAAATATGTACATTTTACAAGGAGTATCACACAACGGTAGCCTTTCTATAGTGAAAATTAAGCCATTAATAAAGTTGTGCAGCAATTAAGTATTTTTGTCAGCAACCCATCACAAGGGCTCCCTCAACAAAAACAATGTAATGTTTCCAATGGAATTAGGAATATTGTAGAAAACAAGATCTATGGCAAAAACATTTATGATACTTACAATAGTTGATGCGTAAATGCAATTGGCAGAAGTAGAAAGCTAAAGTTGGGCTACAAATAAATAAACAACATGAAGTTAACATGACTTCATGTAACCACTGTATCAGTATAATGAGGCTTAATAGCCGTTTTAAGTCATTTGTTAGCTATCACCATTTTTAAAAGCTTTAAACATTCACCAGTGGTGTGTTTACTGACATTTATTATGTCATAAAACAAAGTGTGAACATCTGGTCAGTTGTATTTACCATAGACCTTATTTCAGGAATCTAACCAAAAACAAATTTTCACATTTAGACGAGTGAACCCGGAAGTGGTAAAATGTCAACTAATTTACGGGTTAAAGAATCATTCTTACACCACTGTATTGAAGCAGAGATGGTTAAGTAGGTACTTTGCGGCACTGCCTCAAACACCTCCAAACACCTCCATTCGACACCTTTGTTTACTTCAGTTACATAGTGACATCACTATGTAACGCTGGCGCTTCTATTGGTTAGTGCTCCATTACATTGTAAGTGATAGGCTAAGGGACGGGACATCTCTAAGCGCTTGGCCAACTGCAACAGAGGCGGCCAGCTAACCAATCAGAGCAGACTGGGCTCTGGTTTCACACAGAGGGTGAAAAGAGGTGCTGCAGCACAGGCAGTATGAGAAAAATAAAGAGCTTTTTGAACATTAAAGCATGGACACATGTCACAGTAGAGGCACAAAAGACTAATATCAACCTGAACATTAGCATAATATGTCCTATTTAACTATTAACTAAAGTAACTGCTTTACACCAAACATTGCCACAAAGGTGAATTAGAAAAATTATCAAAATCTTGATACTTGAAGAGTACTTACACTTCTCTCTCTTGCAGTCCTCCCTGATGATATCTTTGACGGCTATGAGTAGATCTTTGTCCTGTGCAGTCACCTGGTGATGGAAAACAACATCGAACACACACGTTCATAAGGCATCCTCACTTTAACTGCTGAGTTGTTAAGAATAATTGAAGGACTCTCTGATGTTTCTTACATGATAAAGCTCATCCTGGGATTTGACCTTGCGGTAAACAATACCCTCATCCTGAAGAATTTTCAGGGCCTCCTTGAGGAGCTGCCGGAGCTGCTGGCATGCAGATGGACCCGCCACGGGCTCCTTCGTAGCAACAGAGAAGCATGGTAATACAGCAGTGCTAAAATGAAAGTACATTTAAAATGGCATTTTCTTCTATGTTTTTGAAGGATATACTTTATTATATTGAAGGACACTTGAGATACAGTCTGACGTTTGATTTTTCTTTCATCCCACCTCCACACATCTTCAAAAATAAACTGATCCAATATTATAAATCGGGCGTACCTGTTCTGCTAGTGCAGTTTGAGGCTGTCTAGGGATCAGAGGCTGCAGGAGGTCCTGAACATCATACGGCCTGAACCTGCTTACCGACTTCTGCTTAAAGAAATCCTTGATGATATTGGTTGCCTTGCCGATGGAACTGACAGCTGATTCACTGAACAACACAGAGAGAAAATGGCCTTCATACAATTCATACTTAAGGCCCTGACAAACCAAACTGACACCAAAAACCATTCCCGACGGACCCGACTGTTGTGTCGCCTCACGTCTCCTGTGTCTTGGCCAAAAAGTCGCACTGGAACACACCGCAAAGATGTGGGGCGCACGCTCGTGAACTGTTAGCGCCGTGTTAAGGCCCCTACACACCAAGCCGATTTCGGCCGTCGATAGATGTCGATAGATGTCTGGCCGTCGATCAGCGTCCTGTCGCCCTACTCAGATTGGTGTGTCCCGCACCGTCGTGTCTTTTCGGCCAAGCTGACACCTTCCGCTGAGCTGTCAGCAAAATAAATCACTGATTGGCTGTTCAGCTTAGTGAATCAGTGCATGAGAAGCGAGGTACACAAACAAACGATTAAGGAATGGGTAGGGGCCTTTATACATGCCCACTGCACCTTGCAGGAGCGCGCACAGTGTAAAAAATCCAAAACTCACAGATATTTCATTGATTTGTATGGCAAAGTTAGGTTTGGAAACGGTATTATTTCCTTTTTTGCGGGCATGCATAACACGGCATAATACTGGAGCATCGCTGCGGGGAAACTTTGGCGCTGTTCTGAGTTTATTTTAATCTGTCAAAATGACGGAATGCTGAAAATATTCGGTTTACGCGCAGAAAGAAACTATTTAAGCATTGTGGCTGGCAACCTTAAAGTACTGCTGCTACCACATTCCATGCATCAGTAATTATAATCCAAGATTATATTAATATAAAACATCATAACACTGACAGGCAAATGATATATCATCATGTACATCTGTATCTTCTGACTTTTATTGTAGTATAGCCAGTGGAGTAACAAGGTTGTGATTGGCTGCCCCCCCCCCATCGCCCCAAACATAAGCGCACGCTGATGTGCTCACACACGCACGGACACACACAACCACTCAGAAGCGCCACATGTAGGCTATCAACAACAGCCTGCCCTGGCCTCATACCACCACAGCCTGACAACGGCACAGCAAACTAATCAAACAATCACTTTACAGAATTAAATCGAGATTTCAAGGACGATGTATGATATCTAATTTCGTAAGTTTAGCCGTTACATCTCCTTGTTCTCTCTTGTCCTTTCTCTTTGGAGTGCCGCTCTTGTGCTTTGGTTTGCTGTACATTATCAGGGTTCCTGCAGGTTTGACCAACTAAAATTTAAGCCTTTTTTTTTAGAACTTTTAAGACCACTTTGAATATAATTTAAGTTCTGTTTCACGGCAAGAAAGTATGAAGGAAAATTGCTATGAAAGAAGAAATACGTCCCATAATTACTTACAAAGTAGAGAAGAGCAAAGAGGAGATAGTTTGTGTGAATTACTTTCAATTGTGGGTAAGGGTAGATAGCTCCCATTGTTCTATGACCTGTCAATCATCAAACCGGGGGTCATATTTCATTATGTGTTCATTTTTATCTGAGGTTGTACCCATGGATGTATAAAGAATAGTTATACCGCAAAGTTATTCTCCGTGGGGACTTCCGGCAAAAATCTTGATTCTGATTGGCCAGAAGACTCGAAAGAAAATCAGCAAAGATGTTTTATTGAGAAGATGATCACTACGTGACAGAAGTTTTCAAAACCGTTTATGGTCTCCGGTACTTCCAGTCCAACGCAGACTGCATGCACAGCGTTTTCTTCAGTCACACATCTGCGACCCACTCGAAACGGGTCCGCGGCCCACTTTTGGGTCGTGACCCACCAGTTGAGAACCACTGTCCTAAAGCATATAATATATATCAGGATACAGCCGTTGTGTATTTTATTATGTGAAGCACTAAATGGTTTTAGAAAAACATTGACTCTTTGTTTGTAGATATCAACTAAACTAAAGCACACAAATAAAGAGTGTAATGTAGGCCTGTTATACTGAGTGATATATATAATTATACACACTGCTCTGCTTTCTGCACGGACCTCGCAGCTGTTCTCACTGTAAACATTGCG